AAAGATTTCAGACACAAATCTTTTGTTTTTCTACCAGAATACGAAATTAAGTAGTACATTTAAAAAGTTAAAAAATCTCAGATAACTATTACATTTTTAAACCTTGTAAAACACAGTTAGTAGTTACAAAGATTTATCTCTAGGTTTGAACACAAAAGTTATGAGAGGAGACATATGCGAATGTTTTATATGTAAAAAAGGTCGCAAAACTAATAACAATAAAGAAAATAAGACTCACATAGAGCCAAGTGTCTCGCAAATTAATCAAGAAATAGAAATAAATTTGGAAAAAGATCACCAGAAAGTCAGGCCAACCTGTATATACTGCTCCGAAGAAACAGGAAAAGGTCTGCGTCATCCCTGCAATAAAACACAGAGACAGAAAAATTTGTCAAAGTTATTACAGGCTGCTTCACCTAAAACTAAAGGTGTAATAATTTCATCTTTATAATAGTTTATAAAGTAAATTAGTTTAATGTTACACTAGTTTAATTTAAATAGAATTAAATTTTAATTTATTTTATTTGAAAACTAAAATATTTTCATATATATTGTAAGATTTTTTTCAGAAAGAGTTATATCTTCTACTCTAATACATATGGCTAGTAAAAGTGACAATAAAATCAAGCTAAAAACTTATGGAAGAAAAAAATGTTTGGTTTATTTTACCAATATTGAAATTAAGAAACCACACTTTTGTTTAGAGAAATTAAAAATGTTGCAAAGTAAGCTTCATGTAAGGCAAGAATTTAATATATAATTTTTATTTCATAATTATAAACCTATAAAATATATTAAAACTTATATCAAATCAAATTATTCAAAAATTATTTTTAGCGACAAAAAAATGCTAGAGATTGCTAAGTTTCTTAGATACGAGACTGGAGAAGTTCTGTTGCAAGCAACTATACAGCTGCAAGAGTTACAGAAAACTCATTACTAGTTCCCTTATTCAGTTGTAAATTTTTAAATATTTTCACAATAAATAAAGTGGGAAATTCACATGAGGTAGTCTAATTTTTTTTATTAGTCTTATAAGTTGATTATTAATTTTATTGATTTAATCAAACAATGATTTCTATAGCATATTGAACAAGAGGTTCGTGGGGTAGTTTGCAATGATGTAGAGAAGCTGATATCTATGGTAATGAACCACAGGAAACTACTGCCAAATGAGATTAATATTAAAGTTGGAATAGATGGTGGACAAGGCTTTTTAAAGTGTACTGTCTCTATAACATATAAGCCTGATTAAAGAGATCAGAAAACTCCTCAAAAGAGAACAAAATATTCAGACGGCTTTGAAAAAAAAGAGTTTAAGGATTCCAGTGTTTTTAAAAGCCTTATTCTAGCAATTGTACCTCACATGGATGAAAGTTATGTAAACTTAAGAATGCTTATTGGAAAACTGAATATAGAATCTTTAGACTACGCATTGTCAGATGACATTAAGGTTAAACTACAAATGGTCGGAAAGCAATGTGCATCTTCTAAACATCCATGTCCATTCTGGGAAACTGAGATATCTTTATTGTCTAAAGCTAAGGCAAATACAATTAGTTCTTTGCATCAATGCACAAAAAATGGTTAGAAAATGGTTCTAAACTTAGTCAGGCTAAAAAATTTAAAAATAGCATTCATCCTCCTCTTGTTACAGGAGATCCTGACAAAAAAAATTATTGAGATAATGAACATTCCAGGACTACATATTCTACTTGGTATTGTTGACAAAATTATTTCTGAAATTGAAAAAAAATATGTTTAAGAACAAAGAAGATGGTTTTAACTTCATGTCAGTCTAACTTAAGTCCATTAATCTTGGCAGAGTATCATATCAAGGACAACACAGACTTGAAGGAAATGCTTCAAATTTATTTTTGAAAAAAGTTGCTATTTTAAAAAGGTTTTTTTATGCACATAGTCTTGGTATTCATGGGGCAAAATATATCAAGGCCCTAATATCTTTCAAAAAAGTTATAGAAGGATGTTTTGGGAAACCATTGTGTAAAAATTACAAAGACAATATTAATAATAATTATATTATATAAAAAATTATTTCGGTCTTGATTATTGGACAGAACAGGCTTTGGATGCAGTACACCAGGATTTCAAGCAATTTTGGAATCTAAGAAAAATTGGGCAGGATCATCCCAATTATTCGAAAACATTAAAAAATGCTGTTGCAGCATACAATATTGTTCACTTTTAAATTATATAGCAGAGTTATTTATGCAAATTATTTAATAAGTGCTTAATATGTCTTTTTGTGCTGTGGATATCAAAGCTTTTTGAAGTGAATCAACTTAATAAAAAAAGAAATAAGGTGTATTGTTAATTTAAAATAGTTCATAGCTCTGCAGATTTTATATAATATACAAAATATTGCTGTATATCTGCAATGTTATGCATAAATATTCACTAATTACATACTTTTTATTTATTTCACGATTTTTCATATATATTGTATAATATATATACATTATATACAATACTGTTATAGAATTACTTGCTTTAATCCTAAATTAATGTTTTTTATTATTAATATTTAAATGTTTCTATTATATCTAAACATTTATGAAGTAGTAAAGACACCGGGGACAACATAGGCAGTAATTCACGTTATTTTTTGCACTTTTTACTTAAAAAAATTATACGAACAAAAATATCTTTTTTTTGAAAAACCCCCGTTCAATCATTTTAATTTTAACACATTTGATTTGAGAAAAGTAACATCTTTCAGAGTGAAAAAATTGGGTACAAAAAAAAAATTTTGATAATGCTCAGGCCCACTGTGACAGGTGTGTTGTGTTCACTATTTTAAATATATATCTACTTAAATATATATCTTATTTTATTTGTATTTAAGATTTATTATAATAACATACATATTTACAACTAGTATTATATAAACAAACATAACTCACTACAATATCTTTCTAACGCACGAGTTCTAATGCGTTCCACATGAACGCACTCTTACCAATCATAATGTTATGTATTTCGATACCAACTCTCAACAGTTCCCCCTGTTTGGGAAAATTTCTATTATTACACAAATAAATAAATCGTGTTTAGAAATTTTTAATAGTAAAACTTTAGAGGTCTATTAATTCGCTTTGGATATGATTTTCTTTTAACTATTTTTCTTTCGATATCATTTACTGGTGTTTCACGTTGTATACTATCGGCTTCAGGTTTTAAGAGTTTTTTTATAAATTGTATATTACGCGCCAAATTGTTTTCTTTTTGATCGACTACAATGATTAAATTTTGCTTTCTTTTTTTAACTATATAATTCTTGTTTAAATTTTTCTCCCGGTTTATGGCGTTTAACAAGAACCTGATCTCCTACTTTAATGTCATCTCTCTTCTTTGCATGATGTTTCATATCATTTACGATACAGTTCAAGTATTGGATTATCATGCCATTTACCCGACAACAACACTGTTTTTACTGTAATTGAACTGATGTCTGTTGCTGTCTTTTTATATCTTCGAGTGATATTGATTTGGGTGCCATTTTTGTCACTAAGAAATTTACATATGCTGTAATTTCATTTTCATCTGACTCACTATGTATTTCATTTGGAGTACAGTTTCTAGAGATAAAATCTGTAATGTTCTCTTCTCCTTTTTGATATATTACATCGAAATCGTATGCCTGTAATTTGATTTGCCATCTTGCAATACGTGCATTTAATTTAGAACCAGAAGAAAAAATGAACTTGAGGGGTTTGTGGTCCACTATGACCTTAAAATTTTTTCCATATAGATACAAATGTAACTTTTCAATAGCCCATACCAAGGCAAGAGCTTCTTTTTCTGTAATACTATATTTTAACTCGGCTGCGGTTAATGACCTACTTATTAAGCAGATTGGTTAACTCCATGTTCCTTCTTTTTGTAAGAGTATTCCACCTATGGCATGATTACTAGCATCAGTGATTAACTGTACTTCTTTGTGCGGATCATAGAAAGCCAGAACGGATTCACTTGATAACTCACGTTTAAGCATGTTGAAAGCATCATGTTTTTTTTCCCACTTAAATTTTGAATTTTTCTTTAATAGTTCCCGTAATACTGTTATTTTTTCACTAAAGTCTTTAATAAACCTTGATACATATGTGCATAAACCAAGGAAACTTCGAAGCTCACTGACCGTTGTTGGCGATCTTGCATTCTTGATAGCTTCTACTTTGTTTGGATCAGGATTAATACCGTTTTTATATATTTCAATACCAAAAAAATTTATTTTCTATTGAGCAAAAATACACTTTTTTAAATTTAACTTCAGACCTAATGTCCTTGTTTTGATGAACAAAAGTTCTAATTTTCTTAATAAGACTTGTTCGTCTGATGGGTATATTATAATATCGTCACTGATAAATTTTACTCCCTCTACTCTACCATAGCTTTGCTCCATATTTTTTTGAAAAATTTCAAATGAATTGTTGAATTTTGTGTCGGCAGACTCCCTCATCCGTTTGAAAATTTGTAATTTTTCTTGATTCGATATCCAACTCTAGCTGAGTATAGGCTTCCTTCATGTCTAGTTTGGCAAATATTTTTGAACCATGCATTTCATCTATTACTGAATCTAATGTAGGTATTGGGTATCTTTCACGTTTAATTGCTTTGTTTATGGTTCTAGCATCAAGACATAACCTTACTGTCTTATTTGCTTTTGATACAATTACAAAATTACTTATCCATTCTTGTGGTCCTACAACTTTTTCAATAATGGCTCTTGAAGTCGCTTCAACTCTGCTCGAATGTCTTTTCGAAGGTGATATGGATAACGACGCAAATTTCGCGCAACTGGTTGTATGTTTTTGTATACATAAAGTATGCATTGAAAATTTTTTAATTTACCATGTCCTTCGAATATGTCTTCGTATTTTGCAATTAACTTTCTCAAATTATTTTTAAATTTTAAAGTGACTTTACAATTTGAATCAATATGCTCAAAACTCAAAACACTTTTAAAGTGACAAACACTTTTAAAGTGACTTTACAATTTGAATCAATATGCTCAAAACATTTTGATTCGTTGGAAGTTTGATTTTATCATCATTGTTTTTACACACGTTAGAGTGCTGTACAGCTTCAACTGACTTATTACCCACTGAATTCATATAGTGTTCATTATTATTCACAAACTTAACACTTTCTGCAATTTTTAAAATATTCAATTCCTTAGCAGTTTCAATTCCTATTATATTTCCAACATCATTTTTATCTACGATATATATATTGTTTGTATTTATTTTGTTTTTAGCTTCAATTTCAGCTTTGAAACAACCTAATAATTTTAAAGGCTTCGAAGCATATGGAAAGATGGTTGTTGATGATTTCTTGATTATTAAATTAGGATTGTTGCTTCTAATTCTTTCAAAGGTATTTTTATCAATTAAGTTCACACTGGAACCTGAGTCAATAATCATTTTAATCGTGACATTTTCCACTATTACATTTATTGTTTTTGTTTTATTAGATTGTCTTTTCCGTGTTGAACTACATGTTAGGGCAAGCGTTTCTTCTGATTCATTTTCTGAGTTGTGTTCACTTTTAGCTTAACAACGGTTGTAGAGTATTTCGGCAACAAATAGCTAAATGATTTTTCTTTTGACATTTGAAACACATTTTTCCCATGGCTTTGCAATCGTTTTGGTGTCCAACAAAGTACTTCTCCTCACATCGAAAACATAACAAGTTATTTTCTTTTTTGTCTATATTATCATTTCGACTAGGTCTTGATTTAATGTTTGTCGTTTGTTTTCTTCTTTTGATAAAGGTTTGTTTTTCTAAATGATCTACAACGTCGATTTCCTCTGGGCATACATTTGCTTTTTTATAAGACATTTCTTTTGCCTATTGTTCTGACACTTCCATGTTTTGACCAATCTCAATACATTTCTCGAGATTTATTTCTCTATCTTTAAGGAGTTTTTGTTTTAATTTTAAAGAATAACACGATGATATGAACTGATCTTTCACTGTCTCTGTAACATTTGGAAAGGCACAATACTCCGCTTGTTTTTTTAATCGCGTAATAAAACTCACTGTACTTTCCCTTTCATTTTGTTTGATCCTCGTAAAGACGTAACATTCGTATGTTATATTCTTTCTCGGACTGAAATATTGATCCAGTTTATCACACATTGCCTTGTATTGATCGGTGTCAGTTCCTTTCAGGGTTTTATAGATTTCTTTTACATCGTTCCCTGCTAGATGCAGAAGTAACGCTTTTTTTGCGCGTCTTGCGTGACTCTAGTTGCAACTAGATTTAACTCAAAATCTTCTTTCCATGTTTCCCACCATTTGTCTAAATTAGTTGTGTCGTTTTGATTTATAATAAACTGTTCTACTCCAGGTAAATTATTAATTACTTTTGCCATAATTTGATCTTCTTCGCCAACTGTTGTGTTCACTATTTTAAATATATATCTACCAACTCTTATTTTATTTGTATTTAAGATTTATTGTAATAACATATATATTTACAACTAGTATTATATAAACAAACATGACTCACTACAATATCTTTCTAACGCGCGAGTTCTAATGCGTTCCACATGAACGCACTCTTACCAATCATAATGTTAAGTATTTCGTTACCAACTCTCAACAAGGTGATTCTCAATTGTGCTCTCAAGAATTTAGAACATATATAGTACCACATTTATTAGACATTTGTATGGTGCGATTATTTTAGTTATGAATACATAGTTATTAATAAAAATTATTTATTTTAAACATATATATACATTATAATACATTATATATATATATATATATATATATATATATATAGGGCCCTGCAAAACTTCGAAATTTTGAATCGCATCGATTAAAAAATATGATTCGAGATACGATTCAAAAATGGAATCCTTACTTATTTTTTTGTTGTTGTGGGTATTTTAGATATTCTACGCTTTGGCACAATCAAAATCACGTTACTTATTCTTAAATAACCTTTTTAATCAGTCATTAAAAAGGTTAACCAAGGCAAGAAGCATCGATAAAGAGGTTGTACAATTATATTATTTTATTTTATTTTGAAATATATATTATTAGATAAAAAATGCTTAAATTTAGACTTCAAAATCTTGATTCGAAACGTGATTCGAATCGCGAATCAAGACCTGCTTTGATTCGAGATTCGATTCGAAACAAAAACTGACGATTTGCAGGGCCCTAATATATATATATATATATATATATATATATATATATATATATATATATATATATATATATATATATATATATATATATATATATATATATATATATATATATATATATATATATATATATATATATATATATATATATATATATATATATATATGTATATATATATATATATATATATACATATATATATATATATATATATATATATATATATATATATATATATATATATATATATATATATATATATATATATATATATATATATGTATATGTATAAAAAAAACTTTTCTTCTACTTATAATAAAGTATTAATTGTTGAGTTTGGAACTTTGAAAATTTGAGAACCTTAATTAATTAAACCTTAATTTAGGTTTTCTAAACTTAGTTTGTAAATTTTTATCTGAAATATTTTAGACTTCAGTTTTCAAATTTTAATTTCAAAAACTAACCAATTTAAATTCAAATACTAACCATATATACGACGCATAAAGACGCATTTTATATACTATACTTAAGTGTATAAAATGCGTCAATACGCGTGGTTAGTTTCTCTTTACCGTTAAGCCTGCCCATTGTAAACATTCATAAAGTAAATCTTTTATGGTGCGGTTGCAGAAATCAAGCCCAGGTTGTTTTCTAATGGAACATTTTTATTTATTTTTTTTATCGGTCCGATGAAGTAAAAAGATGTCGATATAATAAAGATAAGATATAAAAGATGTCGTTAAGACATCGGGCAAACGTCCATGTGTTTTTTGAGATATTGTTAAATATAACTTTAACTTCTAGAATTTTATCATATTTTGTTTGTAGAGTTTTTCTCCATAAACAAAAGGTTTTCATTTATGGAGAAACACTCTACAAACAAAATTTCAAAAAACAGCTTTCACTGTTGGTTTTAACAGTAATGTTTGATTCTCTTCATTAAACCAAAATAAATATCTGCTTTAATTTAACTATTTAAATTAGCTATTCAACGTTTTCATAAAAGTAAAGATGGAAAACCGTAAGGGTTTAATTGTACAATATCCTTGAGGAGGTGGTTAATTTCTAAAAAGTCGACATTTCAATCCAGGTCTCATACTAAAATAGTTGATACAAGCAAATCAAACTCTCAGATTGTATTTATATAAAAAATGTTCTACAAACTGAATTTCTACAAGAAACAATTGTTTGCGTATACAGTAAACAATCGCAAATCTTTACACAATATTGTCTTGAGACTGAACAAGTAAACATTTTAGCTTGTCCACTACATTTAAAATTTAAAAATGAAAAATTATTAATAAAATTCCAAAAGACAAAAGAAGTATATTGTTGGCGCGTATACAGTACGCATCATTGATATTTTACTTCCTACTCGCTCTTGTAAGCACATTTATACTATTAAAGGGTCCTCTTTATTGTGTGCATAATCATCATTAATTACAAAATTGTAATCTCCATCAAAAATATCGAAACAATAAAAACAGTTTTTTTAAGATTGATTGATATTTTTGTTCTTCTGCCTTTAATCATATTTCAAAGTATCTTAGAATTATGTTTCTTATAACTCTCTACAATGAAATTTTTTTAAACATATCTTGTTTATAAATATAACAAACGGATTTAAGTTTTTTTCTCGTTTAACTTTGTATTTATGGTTTATTTTGATTAGACGTTTAACCTTGTAATCTTAACCTTGTAACCTTATTTGGTTTGACGTTTGTACTGATTATTTTTTTAAGCTAAAAATTGTTTAAGCTAAAAAAAAAAACGAGAAAAAAAAAACAAAAACATTTTGGTATTATTAACTTTGTAATTATGGTTTATTTTGATTAGATATTTAATTTTGTAATTATGGTTTATTTGGTTTGACGTTTGTACTGATTATTTTTTTACTGTTTAAGCTAAAAAAAAAACGAGAAAAAAACAACATTTCGGTATCATTTGTCATCTGTCTTTATAAATTTAGGTAAGGATAATATCGAACACCATTGGGTTAAATCATTTTTGTGTATTTTTGATTCCTAAATCAATATTTTCGTGTAATTTTGATTTTTTAATCAATATATTGATGTACACTTGATTTTTCAATCAATTTTAAATTCAGTATTATAGATAGAAAAATGGCCATGGAAAAAATTAATTGGGAGCCTGAGGCAAAGATATTTGTGTTTCATGAAGAGATTATTGGAAAACCTAAAATGCACACTAAACGCTTGGATCTGCACGATTGGATTAAAATTGACAATACTTACGTTGATCAGCAACAGCTGAAAAAAACGTTGTTAAAAACTGAACGTGATAAAATTTTTGTTACAAGCTCTAACAGTTCTACTGAGATGTGTAAATGGGAATTTTTTCAGTTAATTATCAACTTTTTACCAAAACGCTTTCCAGACTTATTTGAAGAAAGACCTGGATGCATTTTTAACAAAGTTTTTAAAGAAGAAGTATCCACAGCTCGTCATGCTAAGGAAGATCTGCTTATTAGAATTTCAAGTTTGACTCAAGAAGATTGGGTAATACTAGAGTGGAGTGACGCAAGCCAAGGTTATGTTTTAACTGCTGGTGTTGTTTTTTTCCCAATGCGATGGTCGTTAAAAGCAAAATTCAATAACGTTCTTGTAGATATACATGCACCAGTTGCGCAATTCACCAAAAACTTTACTTTTAAAGCCCAAAGTCTTATGAAAAGTATGAAGTCTGAGTCCCCAATATGGAGAGCAAACTGGAGTATTTTTAACGATCTAAAAGGTCCACTTGATCTTTATGCACCAAAAGGTCATATGGAACGTAATGAAAAAAATAGTGTTACAGACTACGTAGGTGAAAGAACGGGACGTGAATTAACTTTTAGGGTTGAATACCAAACTCTAAGAAAATTACCAGAAACTCAATGTATTGTTTTTAGCATAAGATCTTATCAACGGTATTTGGAGGATTTTAAACAGTTTCCCCTCTTCGATTCTGAAGGTTTGTTAAAAGCAATAGAAAACCTTAATGAAGATGAAAAAGATTACAAAGGTGCCATTTTTTGGAGCGAAGCAGCAAAGAAGTATTTAAAAAACAATGTAATAAATGCTAAACATTTGAAAACAAATAGCTTGACTTTAAAACCTTCAATGGTTTTTTCTATTGTTGCGTGTTCGTTATTTGTTGCTTTCGTTTTAAAAAGAAAGTATTTTAGATAAATCCTGGATTTTGTGAATGCATTTATTCTTTAAAAGTTGTAATTGTTATTGGTTTAATAATAATGCTTAATTATTTTTTATTTATGATGTTTTCACTAACATATCTTCTTTAATATCCATATTATTAAAGAAGATGTTATGTTAAAAATAATAGTTTATTTTGCTTCACAATTTAACAAAAGGTAACAAACATTACTTGCAATTTTTAACTATTACAAAAATACGAACATTTGTTGAAAATAATTTTTGAATGCTCGAGGTTGTTTTGATCTGAGGTAAGTCTCTAGACAATGCGCTCTAGCCTTTTCTATTTAAAGAAAAACTTGTAAAGGACCAATGGACAGGTAATGGCATTATACTATAGTATAAACATAAAAAAAAATTCCAATTTTACTATAAAAATTCCAATTTTACTATAAAGTGCAAAGTATGCACCGAAACTGTAGAAAAGTATGTACCGAAGCTGTACTAAACGCTAAAAAATTACCGGGAACTCAATGTATTGTTTTTAGCATAAAACCTTGTCAACGGTATTTAGAGGATTTTAAACAGTTTCCTCTTCGATTCTGAAGGTTTGTTAAAAGCAATAGAAAACCTTAATGAAGGTAAAAAATATTACAAAGATGCCATTTTTTGGAGCGAAGCAGCATAGAAGTATTTAAATAACAATGTGATAAATACAAAATGTTTGATAACAAACAGTTTAACTTTTAAACCTTCAATGTTATGCATTGAATTAGTATGCAACGTATCAGTATTTCCTCAGTATGAAACAAACCTAAAGAAACTACAGCTATAAAGAGAGTGAAAATATAATCTATTCTGAAAAATAAATCATCTTCATGAAAACGCCAACGGTGAAATTATGAAAAAAATATTTTTATGTTTTAATGTAACTACGTTACAAAAAAAGGGAAACAGAACTCCGATTTATTGACTGTAGCTAAAACGAAATAGCGTGTAAAACAATTTGGTTGGTTTAAGTTCCTTTAGTGTAAGTTTTAACCATTCCCAGCAAACAAAAAGACATCTTTTAGCTGTCTTAAAAACGTTTTTTTAAGATTAAACAAGATGTCTTAAAGATATCTTAAAAAGGTCTACGTTGTCCGTCGAAAAGACGTCTTACTCAAGATTGCTTAAAAACGTCTTACTAAAGACCGATTTAAAACGTCTTAATTTAACGGTCTAAAGGCGTTTTATTCAACACGTCTTAAAAATGTCTTAAAAAGGTCAAGGTTGTCCGTCGAAAAGATATCTTACTCAAGATAGCTTAAAGTCATCTTACTCTAGGCAGATTAAAAACGTCTTACCCAAGCGCTTTAAAAACGTTTTACTCAAGAAGTCTTTTTTTAGAAGACTTTTAGGTCTTTAGTTTAGAAAAAATTAATCCCGCATTTATTAGAAACATAAATATAGAGGAAAAATAAATTAAAAAAAAAATAAATTAATAAAATTAAAAAAAATAAGTTAAAAGGGACATATAATACAACTAGATGGATTTTAATAAAGTATCTTTTTATATAACAATGTATATAACATATAATATATACAATAAAAAATAAATTTTAGTTTCTATTTTTCAGCGATGGAGCATTTTTACACTATTTTCCGATTTGCTGTCTTATATCAGAATTTGAAACTTTTTCAAACCTTTTTGTTACAACTTCTAAAAATAAATTAAAAATTACAAAAACTTGCCAAATAATAAAATGTAAACTTGCCACATAATTTATGCGGCAGTGGTGTAGTGGTAAGAGCGCTCGCTTTGTATGCTTTGTATGCAAGAGGTTCGAAGTTCGGCTCCCACCGCATCTCTGTAAGTACCGCGCTCAACTTAATTTTTCCGTGCAGCGGCCTTGCTTGTCAAGGTTCGTGTTTCGGAGTTAAAGAGTTGAGAGAGGGTTGTACCACGATTTACAATAAAAATAAAAAAAATAAAAAAATTAGTAGCCTCCTCGACTGTAGTGACCCCCTTGAGCTTTGGGGAGGTAAAAACCTGGAAAAAAATAAAAAATTTTGACTATCAAAAATCTTAAAAATAATTTTATCTTAACATACATTTTTAATCAAATACCAAATGATAAAAATTTTTATTATATTAAAACTATTTTTTATTACCTTCTAATACATCATATAGCTTCGTTGATAATAAACCAATTTTTCCACCAGAACCTATTAAATTAAACTGTGCCAATAGGGTATTTGTAAATAATCTATATAACATAAGGAATAAGTAATACAATTTATGAAAAATAAGCAATTTACCATCCCAATGTAATTATTTGTTGCAATAACTACTATACTTAAAATATATATTTACAACAGAAAAATAAAAAATATTATTGCTTATATAAAAATATAATTAGAAAAACCTATTCATAACCAATCTTGTCAGCTGTTTATAATCTTCTGCGCCTAAAAAACTCAGTTGTTTAACCTAAATAAAAAAAAAATCAAAACCAAAATAACAAAATTATTTAAAATAATTATTTTAAATTTACAAGGTTTTCAATATGTAAATATTTTCAATATGTAAAGACAAAGTATTTACCTAATCAAGGAGAACTGAATCATCCTCTAAATATTTGACAAAATCTTTGTATTCTGCTATAGTCTCTAAATGCTTAACTGCCAAATTCCTATGGGGTTGTTTATTTACAGCAATAATTAGCTCCTGATTTTCAAGAATTTTTGATACCATCTTGAACATCATATGCTGGTATTCTAAATTATACAGTATATATATATATATATATATATATATATATATATATATATATATATATATATATATATATATATATATATATATATATATATATATATATTATATATATATATATATATATATATATATATATATATATATATATATATATATACATACATACATACAGAAAAAAATTATTTATGCAATTTTAAAATGACCAACAATTATTGTTTTTTGTACAAAAGTCATTTCTAAAATAATTAAAATGTGTGCACAGTCTCCACATTTTATTGCAAATAAAAAATAAATTAAATGGTTAAAAGAGCTTACTTCCAACTTCCATAGGAAACTGATTTTTAACTAACTTCTTTGGTCCAAGGGCTTCAATCATAGTTTTTTTTTGTACTTCTTCTTTTGTTTTCTTTTTTTTTGAACTCTTGAGTATAAGGGTTTCACCTCATAATGCCAAAAAATAAATTAAAATAAAAGAAAAAATTTTAAACAACATTTTTTAGATGTAAAATAATAATCAAAGACAGTGTACCTGTAAAAAAAATTTGATTGTTCCTTTTCAGTTGATTTTGAAGGTAAAAAAAGTTAGGCAAAGCTAAAATTAACAACAAAATAATATTTTAACCTTAATAAACAAAAACCTGAATTATAAAATTTAAAAATAATACTAACACAGTGACTCAGAATACGAAGTTGATTGTTCCTCTGTGTGTAAAGGTGAAGAGTCTGGCAAAGCTAAAAATAAGAATCCAGAAATATTTAAGATTGAAGGTGTTGCAAATTGAATTAATTCTAAATTTTAATAATTTAATAATTATTAGATACCAGAACAAATATTTGATTGTTTTAAAATAATTGATCCAGGTGACAAATTAAAATCAAATGATCTCTTTAATGATTTTGTTGGTATGGATTGCAAAACTGGTGGAGGCAACGGAAAATCTGGTAACTTTAAAATATAATATCTATATAATTAATTTTTGTTATTGTATTTACATTTGATATTAAAAATAAATTGTAAGCAAATTTTTAATTATACCATAAACATTACTTTTCACTTTAAATGTGCCATCAGATATTTTTCCAGTACATCATATATTAATTCTAAAGAGTTATTTAATAGTACTTACATAGTTTATTCAGATATATATATATATATATATATATATATATATATATATTATATATATATATATATACATATATATATATATATATATATATATATATATATATATATATATATATATATATATATATATATATATACATATATATATATATATACACATATATATTTAGACAAATATATACATATATATATAAATATATATATAGATATATATATATATATATATATATATATATATATATATATATATATATATATATTCATGTGTGTATTTTATATCTAATCTCATACCACTCTCAAATTTGATTTTGATAAGTTTATATTTGTCCCATGTTTCATCTGCATCCATTTCATCATTGACAGCTCTATGATAAGATATACCAGAAGGCCAAAATAGTATTTTTTCTTTCTTTCTGTATATAATATATTTTTCTTTTTCTTTATGTATATAATATATATATATATATATATATATATATATATATATATATATATATATATATATATATATATAAAATGAGCATGATAAGATTCACTTATAACCTTTGAGGTAAGATGCAAATTATTAAATAATAAATGTCAAGTATAAACAAACAAAAAATTTAAAAAGGTTTCAATCAAATAATTATGATTCATTAATGTTCTATTTCATACAACAAAGGAAAGCACGCAAGACCTTCTTTTCAGGGTAGAGCAACAACCTTTCGGCAGAAACTTTCAACTCCTAACACAACCACTTTTACTTTTATTTCATTAATCTTTGGTATCAAGAAAATTTTAAAGGTTAGACAGAATCGGTTGTGAATATAAATCACTTTGTAAATCAAGTTTAAATACTCTACATTTAAAAAATCCAGATAATAATTTCTTATCAATAAAACAAAATCGATTTTCTTCTAGATAAAAGCATGAATTTTTCAGCTTCACTCAAATATTTAGTTTTTGAGATTTTTTATTAAATAAATGTTGTAAATTTTGATACTGTTTTGTAATTTGAACAACCGGACTCTTTGAATTTTTCACTGCTTTCTTCAATGTCTGCATATAATTTTCAAAAGGAAAACAAGATATTGTATTTAGTGAACAATCAAATCTAACAACATCATCACAAATATGAAGTAAACAGTGAACATTATAAACACAGAATGATTTTGTATATAAATGTTTCGAATTAGTAACAAAATAATTTATTAGTTTTTAGCAAATTCAAGATAATGATTTTAAACTTGATTTTCTTCGTTTAAGAGAATCACCATCGCAACATACAATGTTAGAAAGTGGTTATAAATTTCTTTGCTAACAACACCCTTTAAAACTAAGGGACCAGTGTATAAAATAAATTGCCTGAACTCTGTTGCTTTCCAACAATCTAACTCAAAAAGAGACCGTGGTTGTCGAGCAAATTCAGATGGCATCATAACACGTAAGCTTAATAGATTAGCATATATAGATTAGCAGATGGCATCATAACATATTAGCTTAATAGATATTTTTTTTACTTGGGTATTTGAAAGTCTACAATGTTTAGGACCTGACTTTAAAAAGGTAAGTATGCGTCTTACTACTCCAAGACAAACCATGTGCATATAGTCTAAAATAAAATCAGAAACACAAGATATTTGAAGTTGAGCTAAAGGAGAAAGAGATTTCTAATGTATAGTGTACAAAAAGGTATTAAACTCCTCAGTTGAGCTTGGAGTTGATAGGTTGTCATCAATAAAAACCACTCTATGATCCTCATATAATCCTTGAATTTGGCACCTTTCACAAGAGTAATATCCTGTATGACCTTGTATACATTTAAGAAAACAACGAGAAGGTGCATCATATATGAATGCTTTATGTTTAACATTAATTTTTTTATTATCGTAGTATAAACCTTCATTAGATAAAAATAAAAATTCTTTGATAAAATCATAGATAAAATCATCTAAGCAGGTTGGTTTACCATTTCTACAGAAAAGTGCAATTATAAAAATATAGTTCTCTATTAAACCAAGTATTGGCCATAGTTGAAGATTAGAAGATTTAAAAAGAGGTAGTCCATTAACATTAACAGCAACAGATAATTCAGTATTTTGAGAATCTTTTTTGGTATTCAAAAAATAATTTAAGCCATCAGCAATGGTAAAATATGCATAGGTTCCGCCTCTAATTCTACTCCCTCTAATTTTTCCTCTTGTTGATCACGGTCGAAAGTTATTATACGCAAGCGCAGTGTCAAATTCAAATATTATAATTTTAAAGATGGTGACGGCCTTTAGATACCAAAATTTTTTCTGAGTAGCAACAATATTTTTAAAGTTTTACTTAGTAGTTACTATTTGCATATTTTTGATAGAATGAAATAATAATAAAGATAATTGAATTGTTGATTCAAAAATGATAAAAACAATATAAAGATGTTTAAATATATAAAAAACTATGATTCTCTGCTACATTTATCTGACTGTTAAAAGCGTGATTTGTTTACATTTTCAAAACTGTTTTTCTAAAAATCTGAGCGATACAATTTAATAATTTTTACTTTTTTATTTCGAATAGTCTTATGTTGATTTGAAATTTTTTTCTGAACAAAAATAGAATTCACCCAACACTACTTTTGTAGATGTATGATACATTTATATTAAGGTATATAGCTAATATATATATATATATATATATATATATATATATTATATATATATATATATATATATATATATATATATATATATATATATATATATATATATATATACATATATACATACATACATATATATATATATATATATATATATATATATATATATATATATATATATACATATATATATATATATATATATATATATATATATATATATATATATATATATATATATATATAATTATATGTGAATGATTATAATATAAATTATAATATATAATTATATGTGAATGACTATACTATAAATGCAAAAAAAAAAGGCTAAAAAGTTCACAAGTTACTTATAAAGTATGTAAGATAAAATATATAATATTATATATAAGTTAAATATAAATGTATTATGTTAGATACATTTAATTTATATGTGTTTTTATAATATAGGTAATATAAACTAAAAAATATAGTTTTTATAATATATCATAATCATTTAACTATATATTATATACAATTTGTATCCAATAAATTTGTGTGCATATTATATAACAACACGATTACAACAATTGTATGCAAACACAATTAATGCATACAAATCAAACTCTGAAAAATAATAAAATATTGAAAATAATAATATATGTCCAAGCATAGTATACTATGTAATACAATACAGTATATATATATATATATATATATATATATATATATATATATATATATATATATATATATATATATATATATATATATATATATATATATATATATATATATTTTAATTATCTTCGCTTCCAACAAGATTGCAAGCAACCACTAATTGGTGTTGGAAGTTACTGGAAGAGAAAAGATGAAGATTGTAGAGCAAGATAACGATAGACAGACGACTTAAAATATTGCAAATTATATGAATCAGGAAAGCAAGATGAAGGAAGCGAATTCCAAAAAACTGATGTTCGAGGGAAAAAACTAGACGAATAAGAGTTTTTGGAGCACTTAGGAACAGTAACAGAAAAAGGATGAGACTTAAGTGAATGACGAGTAACACGAGAATGAATTTTAGTAGATGGCACAAGAGACGCTAGCTCTTTAGAGCAGTGCCCATTATAGTATTTGTAGAAAAGAGAAAGAGAAGCAACATTACGACGATGTGACAGAGGTTGAAGGTTGGCTGCAAGAGCAGGTCCAAATATGTTTACAATGCGTTTTTGCACCTTGTCTAAAAGAGAAAGGGCATCATCAGAAGATCCGCCCCAGATATGGCAACAGTATTCCATACAAGGCCAGATTTGAGATTTATAGAGATAGAGAATAGAATCTAGTGTAAGAAAGTGACGAGCTTGATAAAGAGAAGCAACTTTAGCAGATGCTAATTTTGCAACGGATTTGATATAAGGTTTCCAAGAAAGATCAGAAGTAAGAGTTAATCCTAGAAGATGAAGGGTAGGAGACTCATCGAGTACATTACCGTTCATAAATATAGGAAGGTCTAAATTATTGCGATGACAATTGGCCGAAAAAAATTGAGTTTTATCTAAATTAAAGTTCACCAGCCACTGCGAGCCCCATGCTGTAGCAGAAGTGAGATCCTTTTCGAGCTCAGATGCCCCTCGCAAGCAATCAGAGGGAGTTGGCTTCTTATCGTAACATGAATAAATGGTAGTATCATCAGCGAACAATGCCACCTTAGATGTGAGAATATCTGGAAGATCGTTTATGTAAATTAAAAAGAGTATAGGGCCAAGGATTGAACCTTGGGGAACCCCTGAGGTTACAGAATAAGAAGAAGAGTGATGTCCATCAAGGACAACTTTTATACTACGATTGGAAAGAAAGGATTCAATAATCTTAAAGATGTTTCCAGATACACCATAAGAAGAAAGCTTATGGAGGAGACCAACATGCCAAACTTTATCAAACGCTTTAGAAATGTCAAGAGCAATGGCCTTAACTTCTCCACCTTTATCTAATGCGCGATAAAACCTATCGGTTATTACTGATAGCAAATCAGCCGTAGAACGAGAAGATCGAAATCCATACTGATGATCAGAAAGTAGGTTATGAGATTCGAGAGATTAACTGTTTGTTAATTAAAGATTCAAAAACCTTGCTTATAATAGGAAGAAGACTAATGGGACAGTAGTTAGATGAGTCAGATCGCTCTCCAGAATTTTTAAAAATAGGGATAACAGATGCTGCTTTCCAGCAGGCTGGAAAACAAGACTCTGATAAGCACTTGTTGAATAGTTTTGAAAAGATAGACGACAGCTCAGGAGAACACTTCTGCAAGACTAAAACAGGTATGTTGTCCGGGCCGCAAGCTGTAGAAGAGTCTAAGCAGGAAATCACTTTAGATACAGAAGCTGGAGCAATACGAATGTCGAGCAATGGATCAACCTGTTTGACGGGTATATCAGGTAAAACGCAACTAGTGGCATCAAGAGATGATATTGATGAAAAGTTCTTGGCAAACAATTCAGCTTTGTCCTTAGGTGAGGTGACAAAATCTGAACCGTACAAAAGAGGTGGAATTACAGACTTGCCCTTATTATTAATACTATTAAAGATTCTCCAGAAGTAACGAGAGCCTAATTTTTGTGATTAAATACGAGATTTCATGATCTGAGAATAGCGGGTTTTGGCGTTAGACAAAACCTTTTTACAATGGTTCCTAGCAGTAATGAAGAGACGTCTGTTTTCTAAAGAATTGTTTTGCTGATAGATATGAAAGTGATGGTTTCGATTGGCAATTGCAGCAGCACAATGTGAGGAAAACCATGGAGAAGAGTGAGGCTTGACCTGGAATCGTCGAGAG